AAAATGAAACAGAATAATATCATTTTAACTAAACAGCAGAAGCAATCATTCTAGGATTGCAAATAACACATGGTCTAAAAGGTCCAATTATAAGAGCAAATATGGGGCCTGAGGTCCCTCTCCAAACCTGAAATATTATTATAGTAAAGTTAAAGCATTTTTCTCCCAATTAGGAGAAGGTTAAGACTCTTTGCTTTACATTTTTAATATCTTTCTAAATACTCGCAAAAGTCTAGTCTGTCATGATATACATTTTTGGAGTAAAGCCAAATTAGAATGTAAAGTCCAACAGAAAAGGAAGGCAAACATACCATGATATGATTACATAATCTCTGGAGTCATATTTTAGGTACCCAGTGCTTGAAAGTGAAAGTAACACGAGGATTATATAGCTTACTATTTTTTAATCCAACCACTTTTCTTTTTAATATAAAAGTACACTTGAGTATAAAAATATGTTAGCAGATTATACAGCCAACAAAAATCACAAGCAAAAAATTAAGACTTAAGAGACCAATGAACTGGAAATAAGAGTTGACTTAATCTTCAAATTAGTAGGAGGAAAGAGAGGCAAAGACATTCAGAGACACTGATGGAAGGGAGATGGTCAGAGTGGAAAGAAAGAGGCAGGGGGAGAGTATATAAAATGTAAGAAGAGATAAAGAGAACTTTGTTACACAGATGGGGGAGTGACTTATGTCCAAAATCTGAGAGTGCTTGACAGTCCAATTTTTTCATATCGTTTCAGAATTTGAACTAAACTACTTAAAAAAAAAAAAAAAAACCAAACAAGAATAAAACAACAAAAAACAAAACCCAGATTCTTCCCTTGTTACAGTGTATTCTTTTTAAAAAAAATTCATTTCCAGTAAATTAAATTAATTAAAATCATGATAAGTGCATAGTAGGGGATTCAGTGACCTCCACCTGTTCAAGAAGTTTTCTTACTGTGTGTCACTTGAGGTAATTTGAAGGCCCAATTCACTGCAAACTGGCTTATTTGTACCTATAAGAAGTTATATGCTGTACTTTATGTGGCTTAGCAGAGGGCCTCTAAATTTTATATTTTATTTACAATAAAAAGGACATCGTAGAAAACTAGTCATTCATGTACCACTCTCTGTATGGGAGATAAAGGTTAATTCACAACAAATTTATACAGAAAATATACAAATGCAATTGTACTTTATGTGGCTTAGCAGAGGGCCTCTAAATTTTATATTTTATTTACAATAAAAAGGATATCGTAGAAAACTAGTCATTCATGTACCACTCTCTGTATGGGAGATAAAGGTTAATTCACAACAAATTTATACAGAAAATATACAAATGCAATGTTATGGGAGGAAAAACCCCATAAACAGAATTATGAACTTATTTCTAAGAGTGCACGTGAAAAATATCCACAAACTTACAGTACAGCAGGATAAAACTAAAAAGCTAGAAATAGAATGTTACATAAAAACCTTACAGAAGTTCGAAAATTTTAGGTTTCTATAATAAATGTAAAAATATTCAAGGTGTCATTATTTGGCCTAGCAATACACTACGATAAAAAGAAACACTAGCGTATCACAGCTTCTTGGTCATATGACATTTGCTTTGTATAACCAGCAGCTCATTTTTTTTCAAAAGCTGTCATATCCTAACACATCCATCGCAAGTAATACACAACCATGGTATGAAACCATTTGAGATTATGCTTTGGAGAATAGCAATGTGATATGACTGTTTAGTTTCATTTTGCTCAAGGAGAATTAATTCCTGCTTTTTTACATTATTTCATAAAACATTAAGTGATTAGAAGATAGAAATTCCAAGACTAGAACAATACTAGTCCGGAGATGAAAATCTAAAACAATACTGTATGTTATTGGACAAAAATTCCCCTAATAAATTCCTGTGTGATACAGAATTTATTCTTCTTTAAAAACAAAACAAAAACACACATCATAATTTAATTCATAGCTAAATTTTCACTCTACCTTATATTTTACCAGCATAATCTTGTAATGGTATTCAGAAATACTACCAAACTAAAAAGATATTAAAATCTGGTTCCAAGATTCCTTTTGCTTTTAACAGCTGAGCTTAAAGTTTCTGTATTGGAAATTGCTTTAACAGTTTTGCTCTAAGAACACAAAGATGAATTAAATAGTACTTAATTTTAAGTGATTTTTAAAAATACATAATAAAAGCGTTGTAGAGCTACAATAGCTAACCAACACTCTCAATGCATTTTAAAAAGGCACCAATATAAAAAAAGAATTATAAGTATTTAATACATCAATTTCAGGATTTTAAGAGACCAGTTACTGTATATTTTAATTATTTTGCAGAAACTGGAGGATTAAAAATATTTCTAAGATAACTTTCTTATGTACAAATTTCAATTTCACCCCCTCCCCTCTTTTTTTCTTTTGGATTTGGGGTATTTTCTGTTTTAGATTAATCTTCATACAGATAGCACTTATTAAATATTTAAACTATAACTGAAGATGACCACAAATGTAACTTATCCCTCTTTGTCAAGTAAACAATCCAAAATTTAAAAATATAGCTAATACCTTTTGTAAGTCTAAGTACTGTCTTGAAACTAGGAACATACAATTGTTTATTTGTATTTTTGCAACTCCTTCTGCTCTTTTTCTACCCTACAAAATCATTTTGGAGATAGGATGAAATAAGATTTGAAAATAATTAAAACATAATCTTCATCTAAATGCTTCTCTGATGTAAATTTTGTTAAATATTTAGAAAATATCACATGACTTCATGGTTTTGTGAAGTGTACAACTGAGACACAAAAACTATAAATAAAAATCTATCAAGCTCACTAAAATATTCTTGTCTTTTTTCTATTTGCCAGCAAGTAAAAAAATGGTAATTTTTTTCTGTATTTTCTTCCTATTCAAAAAAGAATTTATATTTATTTAAATTTATATCTTAGCTTAATGTCTTTTTTTTTTTCATTATTTGTTTCATCTTTTTTTTGGAAGTAGATAATAAAGACCCAAGGTTTATGTTTAATAGTTGCTACTAGTCCTAAAGATACACTAGAAACTTTTAAAGAATTTTTTAATACAATCTGGTAAAGTAAACACACCTAATTGCTCAGGTATTAACTACAATTTTAACTCTATGTAACATATCTGATCCTTTGGCTTCCTTTTGTGAACTTCTTTAAAAGAATGTGTGTGTGACACACATGGACATACACATGGTTCATACATACAAATTGCCTGTATGTATGCAGGAGAATCGCTTCCTACTTTATAGCCCAATTTAAATCCTAGTCTCATTCTCCCATTTTGTTCCTCCAGAAAAATCTTAACGGAATGTTTCAACAACTTGAAATCTCTTCCAATCTGCCTATTGGTCACTTTCACTGACTTAAAAAGCCCGATTTGAATGGCTTTTAAAAAGTGATTCACCTCTGTTAGAGAGAGTCAAGCAGTTCTCCAACAGGAACTGGAAACAAAATTCCGGGCAAAATTAGGGCAAAGCAATGTGATAAATTTATGAATATTTGCCAAACCAGAAAATACAGAGGATAACTCATTTTCATGCCCCTCAAATACTTCTGTGATGTGAAATCTCACCTAAATAAACTGGGCATACAACTGTTATGTAAAACCTGATTTATTTGGTGTCTGACTGCCGTATTTATTTATAGGTGCTACCACCTTGAATATTATTTCCTTTTCTGAAGAACAGGTATGCAAATACAGCCATCCAAATTTTCTGAGAAAGCACTATGTCCACAAAAATTCTTTCCAATCTACAAATTTGAATTGACCTTGCCCTCATTTGTCCCTGTCACACCCTGAGCCATCTCCACCTCTTTCTGTTCTCATATCATGAAGCTAAGAAAACGTAAGTACACACTTGTAGCGAGTATACTCTCACAACTATTAACTCCCTAGACTACCAAAAAGATGAAATCTGAAAAAGAGAGTGCATTAGCACTGTCTTTATAGGGGAACCACACAACTCTTCAGGTCCACTTAAATTCAGTTTCTTCCCAGGGCAGGTAGGTACATGATTGTTCATACACTGGGGGGGAAAGAAAAGTTAAGCAGGGAGAAAATTCATAAATGATGCCAGCAGAAATTCACACACAGCCAGAGTTATGAACCTACTCATTGGCATCGAAATGTTTCCTTAAATTACAGTAAAACACAAAATTATGAATCTTAAAATTATTTACCTCATCCAAAACAAAAAAGAAATGGCATTCCAATTATTATTTGGGAATGGCTTGGGTTGATGGGTGTGAGGGAGTCTCAAAGACATGCTTTACCTTTGAAAAAATTGTATGTTCACAGTGTACTGAAGCATGCAGGGAAAAAAAAAAGTATGAGTTGACATTCTATACATCTCTTTTTTGGTGCATTCTCTTAGATTTAAAGAAACAGTTTGGACATTTCTTCAAAAATAATTATGATAGGGTCTGGTAAAAGACAGCCAAGTTGTAATCATTTTTGCCTAGTTCTAGCTGTCTTAGTGCTTAGAAGTTGCAAACTGGAAAATGATTTAAGAGCAGTACTGAGGCCAGACTTGCTTATCTATCCACAGTTCTCTAGTCTTGGTAATTCTCATATCACATTGTATTGAGAAACATAATTTCAGCATCCTATTTAATGGTCTTTTAAAATCGTTATCAGCTATTGCTTAACATAGTCTCAGTATTCACAAATCGTTATCAGATAATCCAGTCATGGTCAGGCCTGTGTTCTCCAAACACAAGCAGCAAGATCTGCCTTCCAAGTGTGTCCCCCAAAATGACTTGAATCAACATCACTCAGTCTCTCCCCTCTAATGCTGTTGGACTGCAAAGAAAAAACAGAGCACCCATATGAATGAAATTAAAACCTGCACATGAAATATGGCAACATATGTCACGTATGGATTAAAAAAAGGGAAACTGTGTATTCAGTGATTGAGATTCATCTCTGACAAGGACTTATAGAGTTGAATGTTTCTGAAACAAAAAATATGTGCAGGACCTTTGCTTGGAGGTTCTGATAATTTCTAGAATCTAAGAAGGGTAAAAGTAAACTCGTTGTTGGTTTGTTTGTTTTATCTGTAGTCCAATGTGCAGGTTACAAAGAAGTTCCCTCTTCTTTACAGCAGAAGTGGTACATATTACTGAAAAAATACTAGAATAAATAGTCCCAGTTCAACAGCATTACAGGGTTCAAGTTACCACATTTAGGTCAAATTAGCAATTGCTGCAAGGAGATTTTGAAAGAAATAACCCACAGCAAGACTTAAGACCGTCTACTGGAAGAGTAAAAGATGAACCAATTATGGACAGAACATTGGGTGGTCACAGCTTGAAAAAAACAGTGAAAAGAGAAATACCAGAAAAGGGATTTCTAAGTGCCTTTTTCTCCCTAGTGTTAACCTAATTATATTTTTCTGCTGACTGTTTAACACTGATTCAATGCTGATAAGGGTAAAATCATAAGCATACTTTTAGAAACAAACATGGATACTATGCTGCTGTCACATTACAACTTTAAAAGAAAACTTCCCAAACAAATTTATGAAAAGTAGAAGTCCTTCCCAGAAATTACTGTCTCTCACCCACTCTTAGACCATATGTTATTTGGAAAACTACATAAAAATACTATTTGTTAAAGGTGTTAAAAGTAAGGCTGCCAGGGTGTCTATAAAATGCCAGTCATCAAAACTATGGAAAAAACAGTGCTTAAGTTTAGAAAAATAAGATACCAGGACCTTAGATGTATTGTAGGCGGTCCTTAACTACATGTAGTTTAAAATTTTTGCTATATGGTACAGTGTAAAGCATACTGAATTATAAATTCCATAGGGGAAGTAAACATAGAACCCACAACAACGAATCAACTCATCCTAGGAGTTATCACTGAAAATAACAATGTGATGGTGTTCCACAATCTCTAAGGGAAAAAAATGGTTTACATTTTGAAACAAATTCTTCTTTCAAGAGTAAAAGTACTTACATCATTTTAAACTGCCAAAGTTCTACCCAGAAAATTCTAAACTTTCCTGCCTTCAATCACAATCCTGAATATCAGTGGCAAATTAGAATCTCAGATGAATCTACATGAATCAAGTAATTTTTCAAAGTATAATATGCCTTATATCTATGCATGGCAGAAATGAACTGCTCTTAAATCCTTACAAAATAAACAAGCCAAGTTATCAAGAAACAATATTCCCATCCCTTCTCTCTTCTGTTTCTTCCTTATTGTAATTAGGCAGAGCAAATGACACTGCGTCCACAAAATAAGAATTATTGACAGTAATAATATTAAAAAAAAATAAAAGGTATGTCAACATCTGAGGGAAGGTGGGATTGTAAGTGCAGTATTTCTTCATGTGCAGTTCCTTACTTCATAGGAGTCCCCTTTGGAATGAAAAGGCCTAGTGGAATGTGTGCTCCCCTCGAACAATGTGTGATGAAAACTCATAACGGTCCTGGCTTCTATAGCCACAGATGTTGCATTCCAGTGGGTCCCGGTAGCCATGGCAACCCATATGAATGGTGTACATGACATGGTCTAGGAAAAGGACTCGGCAGTGCTCACACTTGAAGGCCCTAATCTGTTCTCCTTCTCCATTGAAGACCTTGTAGATGTCCTTCAGAGAGCCCTTAGGAGCCCTGGTGGTATCCAAAGCCTTGACATCCTCCTTCATGTAAGCTGGGCTTTGTTTCCTCTTGGGATTTAAGGCAGGGTTTCCTTGGTAGGACTGGTGGTCATCATGGCTGCTTTCTGAGTCAGTAGAATCCAGGCAGCTATTGCTGGGAGAGGCCTCTCTTTCCTGGGGTCGACTCTTTGGTCTGATGAGAGAGATAGGGCCATCCATGTTGTTTTCATGACTATCAGAGGTTTCCCTGCTAATGGGTCTTTCTATCCTGTTTGGATGATAGACCTGAGAATAAGCTGAGCTTATAACTGGGGCCACCTCAGCGATTGTGCTTGGCGGGTGCTGCATCAGAGGGTGAAGGGCCTCAGCTCCAAGGTAGGTGATTGCATTGTTGATGGCTTGGTCCATCATATGAGACTGCATCAGCTCAGCCTCCTTCTCATATGTTAAGTTCATATCAAAGTGAATATCTGGGTAGCTGAATCGCATAAGCTTTTCCCCTGAAAGGGAGAGGGAGAGAAAAGGGGGAAGAAAAAGAAAATACAACAAAATTAGTGATTGTATTAAACAATATAAAAGGGTGCAAAGTTAACTAACACCTTCATTTTCCATAGATCAAGTATTTGGGCTCTTTGGTTCTGTTGAGACTCACAGATACTCTTAACATGAGAAAAGGATAAGTAATAAAAATTTCACATGCCATTTGCACTTGTTCTAATGCCATCATGAGCACATATCTAGCCTTAAAGCAATGATTGAGTTTATCATATTTTCATCTTCTATTAAAATTCTCACTTGAATATAACTCAGGGATTGTAGGAGAAAAAATAAATACCAGGTGAAAATAAGTCAGAGATCATGTTTATTTTTGCATACAGTAGTCCCCCCTTATCCATGGTTTTGCTTACCTATGGTCAATTGAGGTCTGAAAACAGGTTAGTACAGCACAATAAGATATTTTGAGAGCGAGAGAGACCACATTCACATAACTTTTATTACAGTATATTGTGACGAAGGATCTTCAAAAAAATTCATGGAAAGATTTGTATTATCTTTTAATTCTACTTTTCCATGAACTTTTTGAAGTACCCTCGTTGGTCTCTTACTATGACCAATTTATAAAATAAACTTTATCATAGGTATGTATGTATGTATAGGAAAAACCATAGTATATATAGGGTTCAGTACTATCTGTGGTTTCAGGCTTCCTCCACAACGAGTCGTGGAACATATTCCCCGAGGATAAGGGTGGGGACTACTGTATTTGAAACAGGGGTGACCAAGCTACAAATATCATAAAAGTGAGAGTGAGCTGGTTACAACACATGTCTCTTTACTATGGTGTAGGGTTAATTTGGTTGCTTTAGCTCATATTTTAGAAAAAAAATGATAGAACCAATATATGTCATTCCGGAAAATTCAAAAAAGTCATTATTAAGATACTTTTAAAAGTTGTACACATGATAAAATGAAAGAAATTTAGGGCTATTTAAAAATAAAATATATTTAGGAGTTATTTCTAAAAGTACTTGCTCATACATTTGGAAAAGCTTACATTTCACTGTTTTGGCCAAGTAAAGAAATGCAAGGGTGGAGCAGCTGGTTAGGAAGGCTCAGGGGCAAGAGGACATGACTAATAAGAAATTACTTATACTTCAATATGGCTGAGAATCAAAATAGACAAGAAAGACAAATCAGATAATATAGGGCTCATTCAACAGCTAAGGAATTTGAAATTTAGCCTGAGAGCAATAAGGATCAAAGAGATTAGATATTCATTTAGCAAGAGGACTTAGGAAGCTGTTGGTGGAGAGATCATGGTGGCCTGAACTACTGTAGTAGCAGTGGAAATGGAGAAGTTAATGGAATGAAAAGAAATTTAGAAAATACAGTTGCTACAGTTTGGTAATTATCTACACACAGAGAATGAGAAAGAAAGAATGAAGAAGCCCAGATTTCTGGCTGAGGAACTTAGTGGATGATAAAGAGATAGAAAAGACGATGAATTCAGTTTGGGGAATAGTATGAGTAATAGTCATGTCCAGTAAGTACTTAGATATAGTATCAAACATAGGAGAAAGATCTGGACTTGAGATGTAGATATGACAGTCATCAGCTGATAGAAAGCAACTTCTGAAATTATGGGAATAGATGATATTACTCAGGCATAGGTAGAGTGTGAAGAAAAGAGGGTCAAAAATAGAACCTGGAAGAACACCAAGATTTTTATGCCTACCCATTGACCAGGGCAAGTGGGATTCTTGCACTGGGCCCTTGTTTAGAGAACCCTGGGCCATGGTCTTCATGGAATGAAGACTTTGTAGGGCCAAGGGAATGTGCTGATCTAGAGCTCACTACCCAGATCATCCTGTAGGTACCCAGGACCCTGGAATTCCTTGCCCAAATGGCTCTGATCCTGTTTCTACAGTTTACACAGTCTTCTTCATAGGATCCATCTTCCTGAGTACCACCTGTGCTTGCTAGTAATCACATACCTTGACCTAAAGCATGGCCAAGGGACTACTCTTCATGTGCTTGGTATATGTGGAACACATCGTAAAAAGAACTTGGATGTACAGGCTGGGGTGTCTACGCAATGTATGCATGAGGCCCATTTGCTAGTAGACAACCAGTAGAGGGTCTAAGAGAGGGGCCTGGAGGTAAGCCGAGGGGTAGTTCTGCTTGTGCTGCCAACATCTGGTGTGGAGCTCCAAGGAATCTGAGAATTCCATATTTATTTTAACTTAGTCTTCCAAGTTAGGAAGTTTTCAGCCTGATTTATAATATAAAAATATTTAGGCATATGAATAAAGGCCACATACTTTGCTCTATTTGCATAGCTATTAGGGACAAATCCACAGAGAAGACTGAGAAGGAACAGTCAGAAAAGCTGGGAGAAATACAAGAGATCAATGTCACAGAAACCAAGAAAAGAGCACATTTCAAAAAGAACTGACTATTCAACAGTGGCAAATGCTCTCTAGGAGTTGTATAAGATAGTAACTAAAAAGGGTCCACTGGATTTGACACTGTGGAAGCTATTAGTGACCTTCATGAGAATAATTTTGTAGAGCATTGGGAAGAAAGCCAGGTTGTATGAACTGGGAAATGAGTAGAAAGAAAGAAAGAAATGAAAAGAATGCACAGAGAATTCTTTCAACAATCCCGTCATTGAAGAAAAGGAGAATATAGGTGGTAGCTGAAAGAAGACTTGGACTTGGGTTTGAGGGAAGTTTTTTTTTTTTAATTATAAGAGTTTATTGCATTTTAAATGCTCATAGAAAATGCCAATAGAAGTGAGAGGATAAAAAATAAGTGAGAAAGAAGAAAAATAATAGTGTGAGGTATTTGGGGATGTGTCAGGCAGGATAGGAGGATTCCAGGGCACAAGAAGAGTAATTAACCTTAATCTGAAAGAGCAATGCATCGTTTGTTGAAATAAGGAAAAAAGAAAAAAGCATTTATGTGATTTGCGATGTTGGACTGAAATCATTTCAACTGACTTTATTCCCTGTGAGGACAGATATATGATCACCAAAGAGTGAGGTACTATGTTTGCAGAGAGAAGAGAAAGGTTGAAATGGCCATGATGGAGAGGAGGAGAGAAGACTGTTCAGGGATGGGTTAAAGAAGTGTTGATACATGGTATGGATGGGCCAAATGAGAGGTGAGATCTGTTATTTATCTACAGTGACACCAATTCACAAGACGGTGGGATTTTCTCCAAAAGTACTAGCAGCTGAGATTTAACTATTGAAAAGATGTTCAGTATGCTTCACGAGAGATGGGGGTTTAACCAGGAAAAGGTGATAGGACAACAAAGCAAGAGATTAAAGAGAGAAAAGTGGTAAATCATGGAATCTAAGCTGCATAAGAAAAGAGAGGAAGACACAAGTAGGTACACAGAAAGTTTGGCCTGGAGAGCTTGATCAGGCCAAAGAATAGAATTTAGCTGAGGGATATAGTGAAAAGGAATTTACAGTAAGTGTGGAATGATAAAATTTTTTGTTTCAGGAGTGATCACAGAAATAGTTACTACAACTATTGTTATATGTAACTAGGATAGAATTCAAATAATGAAAAAATACTCTCAAATTCTTAACAAAAATCTACTGTCATTATTTTAGAATCATAAAATCTGCCCCTCTTTTCTCAAATCAAATCAAGAGCAGCATCTCTAAGTTTGACTAACATGTTACAAAGAGCAGACTATATTCAAAAGGCAGAGAGAATAATAAGACATTTCATATTTTTCCAACTGCAGTAGTATATAATTAGATTAAGCATTTAATGACGTCCATCACCCTAGCCAATTTTAAAAAGAAATGAACTGGCTTTTTTTTTTCTTTTCCTTTTCCTTTTCAGAATTACCTAAAAAAGGAAGAAAGAAGAACAAAAAGAAAAGTTACCTAGGGCCCAAGGCAGGCCTTTGATTATAATCTCAGGACCCTTAAGCTGACCTAGTATAAACTGTGACCTTTGGAGTGACTCTAGCTTTTTTTCAATGAGTTCTCAATAGATTTCGCCATCTAGTCTTAAAGTGATAGTTTGATGACTTGCTAGTTCTTCAATTTTAGATTGAAAGAAGACCTTCTCTAAGTGTTTATTGGAGTAATGGAATTTTATTACCCTTTCCTCCCTGAAATAACCAAAGAAGATTTTTCTCCCAAGCACCATTCAATCGGGATATCCTACAATGCTCTCTGACACTAGAATGTAAGAATCTGTTTGAATTTTTTTTATCTCTTCTTATTTTTATCCTAAATGAGCATTAAGTCCATAAGAACAGATATATTACATATACAAGAACGAAAATTCTTTAACAATTCTTTCTATTGAATCTCTATTACTCATATATTCATTTTAAAGAATAGATGCTTTTTGTATCCTCAGAGACTTATAGTATTCATTCAGAATGATGCCAACACTGGGTATATAAAAGAAAATCCAAGGGTTTTGAAATGAATAAGAAAAATCTAAATATATGATATTTAATCTTTTCAGTTCAAAATCAGTCTGGATGAAAACATAAGGATCAAAATATAAAATATAGATCTGAACATAAAATATTTTGACTGTAGGTTACTGCATTATTTTTCTAACACAGAATTTTGAAAAAAATTCAAATTTCTTTCAATTCTAGATCAAATACTAAAAGAATTAATATCATCTAGAGAAACCAGTTTGTGGCACTAATGCAAATTTAAAAAGAGATGACAACACTGGCCAATGGGCTAGACCATTTCCTTTATGCATTGTTACTTTTAAAATAAATTAACATTTTATTTTTTATGTGCTATTTCATTCTATACAGTCATGTGTCAGGCGATTTTGTTGTTGTATGAATATCATAGAGTGTATTTACATAAACCTAGATGTTACAGCTTACTACACACCTAGGGTATCTGGTGTAGTCATTATAAGCTTATGGGACTACATTTAGATGTGTAGTCAGTCCATCATTGACTGAAACATAGTTATGCAGCACATGACTGTACATTTTGAGATGATGACTTACTATTATCAGTCTTTATTTCTCTTTCTTGTGCCCATATGCCCAATGGTGTGTTTATGTGTGTGTTAAGTGTAGGACACATGGAGTATCATAGAGTAGAAAGGAAAAATAAAAGAGATGGGTATTTATTTCATGAATGGAAATACACCATACATATTTCTAATACATGGGAACTTCCCTTTTTCCATTAAAATCACCATGTAAAGAAACAAAAGCATTTGTAATGCTTACCCACAAACTTTTGTGGAGTGGAGCTTTTACGTTTTCCCATATTCCCCGTGAGCTTCTCTATGACAGCAGGTCTCTCAAAAGGCACCAGAGAAATATTGTTGTCCATAATAGGCTCTTGTTCCTTACAATCTTCCATAGGAGGTACTATATAAAACCATACAAAAAATGCAATCTGATAATTTCTTCAACATTTTGAAAGATACAAAGCTGGATTTGCCATCTCAATATGTATTATAAAAACATGAGCTAGTATGCCTAAATAAAAGCAAGCAGAAGAAATAACCTCTAGTGTAAAAGTATACTCTTCCATTTTACACATACACACAGGATTTGTTTTTATCTGAGTCTCTCAGATCAGTGACATAAACTGTTGTCACTATCAGTTGCAAACATGTTCATCTGGTTTCTCATCTTATTTCTCTGAAAGTGTTTTTAACATTGATTAAAATCAATAATACTTTAAGACTGCACTATTTTCTAGGCTTTTGGAGCTTATTTTGCTAAAACAACTGAAATAAGTCTACTTGGTATGGAGAAGAGCTTAAATAGATACACAAAATAACAGCACAATATTTAACGTTTTTATTTTTTTCACCCAAGTATTTTCCTGCAGTAGATTTCCTATTTGATGAGCTGTTAGACCGGTTGGCAGCAGTTTAATACCTGCACAATGCAGTCTTCATGAAGAGGATCCGATTCAGAACATGTCTATGCATAGTAAACTGTGGCAGCTTTATGATTGTAATTTATTTTAAAAAGAACTCTTCAGTAGGATAAAAGAATCCATTTCCAGACTGGCACATTAGCTCACTAAACTACTGCCCTAATTCATTTGACATAAACTCTCCAGTGCTGCTCCCTATTTATCACATTTGTCTAAGTTGTTATGGGCTAATATGTTAATGCTTAAATACCAACATTAATTTTCTTTTATTTTTGGCAGCTAGCTGGCACGAGGAATCAAACTCTTGACCTTGGTGTTACAAGGCTGTACTTTAACCAACTGAGCTATCAGGCCAGCCCAACATTAGATGTTGACATTCATAGTATAGACAAAGAACTTATAAAAGTTGTTTTTGAGTAGAAATACTGTGCAAGGATATTTATTAAGGATAGTGTAACATTTCAGACAGATCAGATCAGTTGATTAAAATCAGTGTTCACAGGAAGGACTATAACTTAATTACTTCTTCAGTATGTGTGTTGTCCCTAGTTAAAATTGTGCCAGTTCTATTTGGAAACTTAAAGGTTTCATGTCTTGGGATATCCTTACTTGTTCAGCATGCACTGTAAAATGATTTACTCTGATCCTTTCATTTGTACAAGATAGCTGCACTATGTGAAACATAGCCCGTTCTCATTTATAAGGGGATCCTATTGGCAGACTGCAAAATAAAGTGAGAAAACAAGAGAAGAAAATTAAGAAAACCAAGTGTACAATTAAAATGACCTATTTAATAACCAATATAACCGTTCTCATTTATAAGGGGATCCTATTGGCAGACTGCAAAATAAAGTGAGAAAACAAGAGATGAAAATTAAGAAAACCAAGTGTACAATTAAAATGACCTATTTAATAACCAATATAGGTAATTTATTCAGGGTTTATATCTAGTTAGTAGATGCTACTAATATTGGGACTGGCTCCAGAGCCTGGGCTCTTAGCAACTATTCTATACTATTCTTTGTAGATGTATCTTGAGTGCCGACTCCTTATCTACCAGTTTGACATATTTGTAAGGTCTGCCATTGGGAAAAGACTTGATATATTTTTCTTTAATTATGTAACTAATCTGAATTTTTTACTTTCATGAATCTGGGTGCAACTCATCAAAATGTTTCTGGACAGGTATTGCTTGAAACACAAAACAAATTCTCTAGATATCTCAATAATGTATTAATCACATAGTGAGATATTTAACTAGGCTAAAAATATACTAATATGTTAACTTCACTTGTTTGAGCAAACTTTATAATCAATCATCTTCTTTGACCTTATTTTTGAAGTTATAACCAGGATAAAAATATATTTATATTTCCTCTTTGTCATTATCTCATCACATTGATAAACCATAAAGGCAGTACAATAAGATTATTTCCAATATAGTTTATTTCCCCTAACAATATAATCAAAATTCAAATTCCAAGAGAAAACAGTCTGAGAGACCAAAATTAGGTCACATAACTACCACCTGGTGAGGAGAGGACAGGTTACCCAGACTAACAGTCCTACCATAGTTACATGCAATGGGAGAAAGTTCCCTAAAGGAAAATAGAAGTCTTGTCATCAAGAGAAAACAGTCTGAGAGACCAAAATTAGGTCACATAACTACCACCTGGTGAGGAGAGGACAGCTTACCCAGACTAACAGTCCTACCATAGTTACATGCAATGGGAGAAAGTTCCCTAAAGGAAAATAGAAGTCTTGTCATCAAGAGAAGAAGGAAGGTTGTCGGGCAGGCAAAAACAGCAAATGGCTTCTATATTGTCACAAATTTTTTCTATGTTGCCAAATCTAAAAAAACGTTTCAGTTATCTTAGTTATTTTCTTGACAGCATTTAAACGTGCTGATACTTGTTTTGGCTTCTGTGAAATCACTCTTTCCATGTTCCCACTCTGCTGTTACTCATCTTCATGACTTTTTTTTTTTCCTCCATGTGTGTTCTTGGCCTTCTAGATGTCTCACTCTATTTCTTATTAAATTTATATTTAATTTCCTATATTACCGTATTAGTTACATTTCTCATATTATCTTATTAAAACCTACTACTCCAGGCTATTACCTATATAATGATGGCTCCCACATCTTTATTTCCTACCCAGATTTCTCTCAGGAGCTCGAGATCTATACATTCAACTTCCTCCTAGACCGTTTTACTTGGTTGTCTAACAGGCACATAAGAGACAATGAGTTCAAAAATGGAAATCTCCATTGCCTCCCATACCTTCTCCTATTTTCCTAATTCTCATCAGTGCATGACACTGCTATCTACAACATCATCCATGCTAGATACTGTGGCAAATCCTAGTTTTCTTCCTTTCACCCAGGATACTCTCCTTGTCTCTACCACATCTTCTTACAAACACACATAGAGGTACCAAGTGTTTTAGATTCTCATCTGTAGTTGCTCTCAAGTACCCAACCTTTCTATATATTCCAGGCTACTAAGCCCACCTCAATCACAACAGTCTCCTAACTGGCCTACTGATTTCTTGACTCCTCTGATCCATCTCCCACATGTCTAGCAATAAAATGTAAATGTAATCCTGCTCTTTAGAAAAATTACAAAATTCTTTGCTTAGCACAATAGGCCCTTGAAGTTCTGTCCAGAGCCTATTTCTCTGGCCTTATCCCCTTCCAATTGCTCCTTGTCCTTACAAACTGGACTCCAATCATACAAAGCTACATGTAGGTCCTTATCCCTCCACATTCTTTTATACTTCTATTTCTACACACATGCTGTTCTCTCTGCATGAAACACCCTTCTCCACTTATTAACTCACTATTTTTGCCTTTCAAAACTCAGCTAAAACACAACTTTCCTCAGAAATTCCTCTTCGACACCCAGTCTGATTTAGATGTCTGTCCTCTATGCTCCCATAATGCTTATCACACAGTGTTCTAATTGCTGATTTACTGGTCTATTTCTATCAATAGTTGGTAAGAAATTTAGGGATTATGTTTTACCTGACTTTGTTTCTCTAGTACCTTTTATGATGTGGCACAAATATTATATTCAATGAATGTTTACTGAATGACTTACTGAGGGGAATTATGTCACTCAATGGAAATAAGTCAAAAAGTGTACTAGAAAGTTTGCACGTTTCCAATTATGCTTCCATACTTTCAATAAAAAACTGTCATTTCCCAAATAATTCAAAGCATAAACCTCAGAGCAGATAGCTTTAAAGTTAGCTATCTTTCTGATTCACACTTTCATTTTTGTCTTCAGGCAAGGGGGGAAAAAGTAACTACACAGTTTGGTTTTTAAATCTTTTTCTACAAGCTTAAGAGACTTGAAAAATGAGCATAAAAATAACATTCAAATAAGATAAATAATCTGCCACAAAACTCAATTTATTGTTATCTTTATTTCCAAAAATCCAAGTCATGAAATTCCTCCAACTCGATCAACATGTCTAAGAACTTTTTACTCTACCTCCTAAATTTGTCTTTAATGCTTCATCTTGTTCTCTTGTCCTGCCACTGCCTTTTCATCTTTTCGTTTGTGTTCTCACTTCAAGTCTCTCCTCACAACCCCCCTGTCCCTGGCCCAGGCATCCATCTATCCAATATTATACATTGGCGACATTTTTGTTTAGAAGATGCAAATTTGACTACCTTGATGGCTCTCCAGTTATACTATGAAATTCAAACACTGGATTAGCATAAAAGGCTCTGTCTTTGTATCACAACCAACTATTTCAGTCTCATTTCCTATTACTCCTTTAACTCCAATTATATTCAATGTCAAGGAATCTGTTAATGATCTTTTATACCTCCAAGCCTCTTCTCTGCCTGAAATATACATTTTCTGTGTCCTGTTCGACCTATGCAATTTTTACTTATCCCTCATGCTCAGATCAAACACTGCTGCATGCAAGAAGCTTTCCCTTACCTCTGCAGGCAGAGTTAAGTTAGTTCTATATCTGTACTCTTGGGGAATTGTACACACATCTTTATTAGAGCTTTTGCTTCATTTTAATCTCAACTTTAAAAAATGTATGTATTTCCTATCAGAATATGTGTATGAAATAATTGTGTCCATTTATCTTTATATCCCAAGAATGTTCCACAGAAGTTGGTACATAGCAAGTCCCTGATAAATGTTTTTTGAATGAAGTGAAAGAATGTCTCTTTTTCTTCAGACACTACTTTAGAAGAGCCAACATGGGATTTTGTGAAAGAGAGGCTAGGAAATACAAATATATCAGATATGAAAAATAAAACAAATAAGTCATTTCATGAAGATAATGGCAACCACAATGATGGTAACCCTCACACCTACCACTAAAGGAAAAAAAAAACACAGCAGGATAGAAAGAGAGGGAAGGGGATAAACATAAATTTCATTGTGGCTCTAGTTAAAAGGAGACACTTGTAAAGCTATATAGATGACACAATTTTAATGATTTAGTCTAGTAGCATTTTACCATGTTTTTCTCTCTCATGGCGTATATTTACTCCTACCTCATACAGTCAATTCCCCAGTAACAATTTTAACAAAGGACAAAGGAGATTAAGGATAATCTCAAATTACTATTACAACAAACCTAGAAAAAGTACAGTATGAAATGGCATTAATATAAACTGATGTGGTCAAAACAATATCCAGTATTTAAGAACAAATATTTGGGTCTATAAATGATAGCAAAACCTACCCTCACCCCACAGTCTTCATTGGCTTTGCTCCGCGCTCTATCCAATGCTCCAAGTCTCTTTCCCACTTTTCCCTACTCTGTTTCAGCTTCAGCACCATCTGTCTAGGGCTGGGAAATGGGAAATAATACTGAGGACCCAGTTATTTAGGGGATGTGTCTTTTTCTCCCCCTAACCCCCACCAAATATACTTGTTTAAATTTTTTGTTAGGATTTTATTCTTTTAAAAGGTCAGTCTGCCAAAGGATAGTTAAATGTAGATTATAATTATTTATTTACAGTTTAAGTCCCTATTACAATATAAAGTCTTTTAGGAGAGTCTCTATTTCTTATGCAGGTATGTATGCATTTCAGAGCTCCATAAATAACTGTGAATGGAAAAATAAATTAATCAATAAAATTTGTACATGTATAATCATATCAAAAGGTCAGAACTACAACAGGAGAACATTATATAAAAAAAACTAGCAGGGATGGCTTAAGGTGTCTTTGGGAAGATTTGGCATACCCCCAAGCCTTCATCAGCATTCTGCTTCAAGCTACTCTTAAAAACAACAGTTTAAAGAGAAACAATATGCTTAGTAGGCAAATGAACCTTCTAATGCTTAAGTTAATGCTTCTAAGTGACAACTTTATAGGGGATGACATATTCACTGTTTCTTAGTATTTAATGTCCTGAAATGTAATGGTAAAAAAAAAAAAAAAAAAAATTCATTGGGTATTTTTTACACACCTAATCACATTTAATTCTCACATCAAGCCTTTGAGTGACACACTCAGACACCACATGGCCAGAGCAGATTTGCTGGACACTGAGGGCCACCATTTTATAACCTTGATGCTCTCGATTCTGTACTACTCTCATAAGCCCATGCAATGCAAGCTTGCAATATCAAATTTACTAAGACTTGAAACACAGACAGGCTTGTAAAAATATTAGTTAATAATGATAACAATTTAAAAAAATGGACTCAGTCATAATGAGTGGAATTAAATTCTTCAGATTCAAAAATCACCATAATATGTTGAACTTTCAGAAGGAGAGAACAGAACTGTGGTTATTAGAGGTGGGAAAGGGGGAAGGAGAGGAGGGTTAGCAAGAAATTGGTTAAATGGACACAGGAATGATTAAATTTTGTAATGATGAATGTGTTAATTATCCTGATTTGATGATCAAACATTGGACACAGGTATTTATATTTAACTCTATACCCTACAAATAGGTATACTCAATTATGCTTTCATAAAAAAAATTTTTAAAAACAAGTTCTCCAGATTATAGAAACTATCCCTAATATAAGCAGATTCTTCAAATATTCAGGATAACAATAAATATTTTAAAATATTTTTAAAAATTCCCAACTCAACAATAAATATTCACTGGCTGTACAATGAACACAGTTCTATAGCATTTACTATATAAAACAAATAAAAACCCCACAAATAATCCTTCAGCTGGCTATGTCTAAGTCAATAAATGGATATTTATATTTTAAAAGTGACTATAGAAATCCTAAACTGTACCACTCAATATTGGCCAAACCTTTTAAAAATAAAAGACATAAATGCACCAATAAGTTAAGATTTTTGTATGTATTTGTGTGAATAATGAAATTGGTCAGTATAAAAATACAATTAGTAAGACAAAAAGTTAGACAGTACAAATCTAGAGACCAAAAATTCATTACTTTCCTTTGTAAGGCCGATTTACTAAAACTAACTTTTCAGGAATAGAGTATTATTAACTGATAAACCTTAGGAAACTGCCTTCCTACCTGCCATAGTATATTGTGGAGATCAGGATGTTTTGCATGGAGGATGTTTTTTGTGGTGGGAGGTGGTGTCTAACTTTGGTCTAGATTGTTTCTCACGCTTGTAGAAAACAAAATCAGTAATGTTCCAGATAAATTACGAGACAGATTGGAAAAATTTCAAATTATATCACTGATCACTAACCTCACAGAGATGAAAATATGCAAGTAACCATTTTGTTCTTTTAGGAAACCAATAGACTTATGTAGAACAATCTCTAATTATTTGGTTACAGAAATGAAAGAAAAGAACATTCCTTTGGTATATTAAAGGTCGGCTGTGTTATGTTAATTCAAACACATGTTATCAGAAATAATTTGAGAGTATCATGAAAACTCAGGAAACCAATAGACTTATGTAGAACAATCTCTAATTATTTGGTTACAGAAATGAAAGAAAAGAGTACATTCCTTTGGTATATTAAAGGTCGGCTGTGTTATGTTAATTCAAACACATGTTATCAGAAATAATTTGAGAGTATCATGAAAACTCAATACAGCTAGTATGTGATATATCCAAAAGCTCAACTCATTTCAAGTGCTTAAGAAGATAATCCCACAGAAAGTTAATGTGATCTAAACTTGTTTCAAACAGAGTAAGATTTTATCTTACTGAAGAAGGGCAGAGGGAACCATTTAACTCATAAAACACTACAAAAGCAGTATGAGGGAATGAAAATCACAAATGCGATTTCTACGCACCATGGTGACTCATGACCTGCCCAGCAGCCTCCATGCTGACATTCTGGAGATAGTTGTGGCAGCGTTCCTTGTGCTCCTCCAGTGAACTGCGCTGCTTGTAGCTTCGTCCACAGTAGTTGCACTTGTGAGGTTTACCCACTGTGAAGAGAACTCAAGGTTAGTATGCTGTCAGGCTCTTCCACATGCAAAGCAAAACTTACAACTAAATTTTGATAGTCTGGAGGAAGCATTTACATGCTTTCAGAATTAAATCTCTTCCTCTTCTACCTTCCAATTGAGGCAAGAGAAGATAATAAATACCAAGTCTATAACAGCAAGAAGATAGGCAGTTCGTACCTCTAGAGAGAGGGGAAATACTGAAATCAAACTCATGCTCTGCCTGTATTCCAGAACACAAATGGCTGATGATCAATCTTCAAATTATCTGACTCTTAACACATTTACTCTTACACAATTATCTCAGCTTTGACTCATTCAAAAGACAAGTTGGGAGTCTCCTAGATACGTGATGAAGTTTTTTGGGGGTGGGGTGGGGGGGATGGGTGAGGGCAGGGAATTTTACTGAAAAAAACAACTTAAATGCAACAACTCAAAATGTCATTGTTTAATAAAAAGAGATTATTCATGGGCACCAAGAAGATTAAAAAGAATTCAAGTGCTGAGAAAAAGTACAGATAAAAGTAGAGTTTCTCTTTTCTTTCCGCCTTGGTAATAACTATTCACATATGCAAAACTTTGCGGTAGAGAAGTATATTCTCTCTCATCAGCAGTGCTTTTATAATACCAAGAATTAACCTGCTAGGTGCTTTGAGTCAGGATTATTAACAATAACTGCTGAAGCCCTAACATATTTAGTTTTACAATGACTGTAACATTTTCCAAAACATCTCACATTCAGGAAATGAATTATTCCCTAATAGCCATGGAAGGATTATCTCAGTACATCTGTTAAAATACTGTGATGCTCATATAAAAAAACTCAAAAGAATTGATTAAAAAGAAAAAAAAAAAACCTCTATGGAAAGAGGCATGTTTTAATGTATGACTTTTCATAAGGATATCACAGAACACTTTGATTCTTGGTTTTCAATGGGTACAGAACAACATATAACACCGGGTGGTCTATGTCAAAGCCCTCAGTAGTAAAGCACAGTATGAATCAGACTAGTGTCTCTCATTTGACTCTCCTAGGTAGGAATCATTTAGTTTTGCTCAGAGAATAGACAACTCTTTTTTATGACCAAAGACAGCATCTCTAATCCCAGTCACCTTACAAACCTGTATTATGACACTGGTCACAAGAGGAACTGAAATACTATAACAAGACAAGGTATCCATGGCTGCCTACAAGTCTCACTGTAGTGATTTTAAAACAACCAAACCAAACCTTTAGATTGCATTTAAGATACACAGATATTAAAGTCAGTTATTTTATAATCAGAATTTTTTATAAGTCATCTTAATCAAAAACTATTTCAGACATGATTAGTCACTTTTAAAAAATAATAGGCAAAGTAACTTCTATTTTTCAAAACCAAGAATTTCTGGGAAGTAGCTGTGAACATTGTGCAGAATGTATATCACTATGTGAGATCATTAAAAAATACAAGAAAATATTTTAGTCAAAATTATTTAGTGTAAATAATGTAAATATATTTACACAAAATTATATTCTAAGAAATGGGTCCACACAACAAAAAGCCTTTGTTTGCTATCAGCATTATCCAGTTGTGGGTTCTTTCATACTGTTTCTCTAGAAATAGTGATGAATTTCTACTGAACAAGACTGTTAACCAATAAATACTTACTAAGCATGTACATTGTAGTTATAGCCCACTGTAAAATAGGTCAGTCATCTCCCGGTCTTCCCTGGTTTTAGTTCTACCACATTGTGCCTTATGTTGCCTCTGTTTCACTGTGAACATAATAACCTCCTATTCTTTCTTCTCTTTATTTCTGTAAGCAATCTTTATACCTTCTCAGCTTAATTGAAACATGATCCCATTCTACTCTCTTGGCTAACAACCTTCTATGTAGTCCCAACTCAGCTGATCAAGAGGAGAAGACAGTATACTTTTCACTGCTTCCAACTCATTTTCTTACTACACTCATTTTTGAAGTCTATTTCATCTGCTTTACTTCAGTTTCTCCCATTTTTGTCACCTATTCATTTTAAAACATCACTCTTCTCTCTTCATACCATCCATGTTCTCAGTGACTCTAACAGGGATTTGAGTAATTCTTCTAAAAGTATGGCCTTGGGCTGGCCCGGTGTGCCTCCCGCCGAGGGTTCGGATCCCCTAATTCTTCTAAAAGTATGGCCTTGGGCTGGCCCGGTGTGCCTCCCGCCGAGGGTTCGGATCCCATATGGAGACCGGTTACCGCTCACTGGCTGAGCGCAGTGCGGGCGCAACACCGAGGGTTGCGATCCCATTGCCGGTCCCCGGTACGGGCGCGACACTGAGGGTTGCGGTCCATTGCCGGACACAGAAAAAAAAAAAAAAGAAAAAGACAAAAAGGAAAAAAAAAAAAAAAATAAAGTATGGCCTCAATTTTCTCAACTCTTTATCTCCATTCTACTCCAGCAACCCAAATAACTGGGTGACATGTTGATTTTGACATTTCTTATAACTATGAGAGTACTTCAAAAAGCTTGTGGAAAAAAGGAATTAACATGAATCTTTTCATAAACTTTTTGAAGACCCCTCCTATTCTATCTCCAAGAAATTTATTCTGGGAATACTCTACCTTATCCTTCTACCTCTTGCATTCACTCAATATATATTTATTAAAAGATTGCTAGGTAGCAAAACTGTGACAAGGCTAAAATGTAAAGTGAAAAACAAATTCTCATGGGTGCCTATCCTCATGCAACTTGTAGTCTAGTGAGGAAGACAGACATTAATAAACACATAAGCAGTATATTACAAATTGTGGTAGGTTCTATGGAGCAAAAGAATGGTATGCTAGTATGACATGGGGAACTTACTTTAGCGTCAGAAGGTTAGGCAGGAAAGTCTGTCTGAGGTAGGAACATTTAGAGTGATAAATGAAGGAAAAGTAGTTAGATAATTAGGGGGGTGTGATGTGGAGAGGCAGTATTTCAGGTTTTTAAGATCAGCTGTCATCATTTTTCTCTCAAATTCTTAGCTCCTTCAAAGTCTACATTCTACCCTTTCTAGTCATTTAAAAATAATTAAAATGTTTTTGTTTTTTAATTTTTATTGAATTTTATTTTTTATATGAACCTTACTACTCTTTTGAAAATTGTTTCCAAACACCACCGACAATCCCTGGCAAATCCAATGGCTCAACTACCCCACAAGGCCATTTCCAATCAGTTCCTTGATGTTTTCTTTTAAATCAAGCTCATGAAAATATTGTTTATATTTACTCCTATACATGATGAGTTCATATGTAACTTATGACTTTATCTGTAATTTATAAGTAAATACAAATAAATTATGTGAGTTAGTATGTATAGCATACATATTTTATAGAAGAGGACCAGTATTTTGTTACCTTTATTTTTATAATAGTTATTATACATTCTCACCAACTGCAACACCTATATGGATATTTCTGAACATTTTGGAAAAGTCAGTAAGCTCTGAATGACTAAAACCCAGTGGACTTCTATCAGTCCTAAATCTTCCTAATGTCTTGGTCACTGTCAAAACTTCTTGTTCGTTGAATTTCTTATTTTAGCTTCTGGGATCAGATTCTGTGTTCCCCCTCACTGGTTCTCAGCCTCATCCTACCTTGCAAATATATACATTCCTCCAGATTTTGTTCTCAGTACAGTATTCTTCTTTGCTCTCTAGATTAAGTTCTCATTTCCATGAAACATCCACATCACCCCTGAAATAATTCCCCATGATGTTAACTTCCTACTGGCCATATGAACCATCTTCAGTGACCTTGGTGTATCCCTTCCGCATAACTGAAACAAAGAGGATCGGGACATAGCTTTCTCCTCTGTGCTCTTACAACTCTCTATTCATACTCTGGTGATATATTACTTATGATACTTGCATTGTAAGTATCCATTTGATATCTATTTCTCTAGTCCAAACAACAAGCTCCATAAAGACAGAGATTATGTTTTAGTCAATTTTGAATTGCTAATGCTTATGTAGTCATTACCATCACACAGGAGACAGGTATTTGCTGAGCGACTGCACTCCAAATCCATACTTCCAACAGCCTTTGGAGTATTGCTTCATGGATATTCCCCTGAAATCAAATCTAATATTCAAAATATCCCCAACTGCCTTCCTCCCCCAAATCCCTGCTTTGTTCTCACTGCACTTCTTGGTTAGTGTTACCACTGTTATAATAATCCAGACTCACAACACTGCAGCCATTTTTGTTGCCTCCTACCTATTCTGCTTCCAAATAATTGCTAAATTCTATATACTCAACTCTCTCCTTCAATATTTCTCGTTTATCCCTCCTTTTCATTTCCACAATCAATATCTGAGTTCAAGGCTTCACTATCACTAATCTAAGCTAGCATGACAGACTTCAAATAGGTTTTCTCATCCCATGTGTAATNGACAAGTATTTGCTGAGCGACTGCACTCCAAATCCATACTTCCAACAGCCTTTGGAGTATTGCTTCATGGATATTCCCCTGAAATCAAATCTAATATTCAAAATATCCCCAACTGCCTTCCTCCCCCAAATCCCTGCTTTGTTCTCACTGCACTTCTTGGTTAGTGTTACCACTGTTATAATAATCCAGACTCACAACACTGCAGCCATTTTTGTTGCCTCCTACCTATTCTGCTTCCAAATAATTGCTAAATTCTATATACTCAACTCTCTCCTTCAATATTTCTCGTTTATCCCTCCTTTTCATTTCCACAATCAATATCTGAGTTCAAGGCTTCACTATCACTAATCTAAGCTAGCATGACAGACTTCAAATAGGTTTTCTCATCCCATGTGTAATTATTTTACTTCCCTCTTCAACAACCTTCAATGACTGTTAACTTCTATTCAACAAAATCCAAATCCCTTTACCTGGTATTCAGCATCCTACACAATCTGGTACCAAAACATACATACTATCTTCTGCCACAGGCTCCAGCCAAAATTACCTTGCACTTACACTTTGTAGTCTCGTTTTATTC